CAGAATCATTGTTTTGAGATTTTACCAGAAAGGCTTTAGGACCCAGGGGATTGAAGGGAGTGTAAAGCAGCGGGCGCTCACTCTTTCTCCGCGGTTCTATCACAGAGGCGTCGCAGTCAGCAGATGTGGTGTGTGGATGTTTAGACGTTGTTGGTAAGCAATATGAAACTGAAAAATAGAACTTGTATCATCCTGTGAGAATATAGCACGAGTGTGGCTCATACTGTGTGTACTTATGGAAGGAGTGCTGAAGTATAACATTTAGATAAGGCTGGTTGGCATTCAGGTGCATGCTCACAGTAAAAGAAAGACGAGGAACAAAGCAAATGTTTTGCTGTTTTGGATCATGAAACTGAAAGAAGATTTGAAATGAACTGTGTGTTGTATTTTTTGCATTTAGTTTTTGTCAGTACTGACTAACAAGAAACGAACCATGCTGTGTGGCAGGTGAATCATTCAGCTTAAGGTGTGAAATGTCCTGTAAAAACTGAACTGTAAATATATACTGGTACAGGTATGCAGCCCAAACTGTAGGATGGTCTCTGTGTGTGATATTGTCATTGTTTTTCCACTTTTCTCCCTTCTTACTTCTTTCCATTCTACTTATTTCAGTCAGGTCAATGGTCTCGGGTTTACAGTCCTGTTTTCAGTTATTTTTTTTGGCATGGTGCAATACGACAGCCGGGCAAAGTACAATCCCTGAGTGGAGGCTCAATACCTCATTGAGGTTTACCCCTGTGTTCATGAAATGATGACAGGATGCTCTGAGTTTCTCCTGTTTCCTGATGTTTAGTGCATGTAATACTTGCCTGTGTGTGACTGTGTTCATTCTATTGTGTGTTTGTGACTAAAAAAGCTTAAAGGATTCCTGCTGGTACCATTACTCTTTCTTTTCATATGAGGCTCATTTTGACTATAATTTTATTACAAATGGTTTAATAAAAAAAAGTTCTGTATATATTTTCTGATATTGATCTCTTGTCTCCTTTATTCTGAATTTATTCCTGCATGATTTGAGATTGGATTCTGTATGAATAACATAAAGGGCTTAATGAGTACAATATGAAAGGACACACTAAATAACCCTGTGGATGTGGAAATAATGGGTGTTTGTTGGTCTCTTAGTAAATGATGACCTCAGAGTAGTCTACTTAAATAATGCAGTTCTTCTTTCTGTGACAAACTACAGGTCAGAATATCATTAAGTGTCACACTTTGACAAGTTCATCAGCTGGTAACAAACCTGTTCACAGCTCAGATCCAGACTCAGATTTGGTGCCTTTCAGCGTCTCAACATGTGTTCGAGTCTCTCCACCAGCCGCCTGATTCTTCTGATCTCCCTGAGTGTGGTGATGCTCATCTCTGTATCAGGTACAGTTTTTATTTCTGGAGTTTGTTTTGTTGTCAAAGCTCAGTAACGACAGCTAAAAGTCTGTTTCTCAACACGGTTATAAATCTATCTGTCCTTAATGCAACTTGCTAACTGTGAACTAACTGTGTGAAAAGAGACTAAAACTATCACAGACTGTAACAGAGCAGCTGTTTCTGGATAAATTTAAAATGCAACTATACATTTTATGTTACTGATTAAATCCAGCTGTATTTTTGTCAGTTATGTAATTTTTCACATTACACATAATAACTGGATCAGTAAATTATTCATACAACATCTGAGAGTTGTTTATTTCATTCTCCATGATATCTGAAAGGCTGTGAAGAATAATGACAATGTGTGTAATGATGTGTTGCAGGGGCTGACCACGTGGGGACACTCTGCTATGAAAATCATTCTAACCAAAATGCAAGAACCACAAAGGTTACACCTGTATGGGCCAAAAACATCATCAGCTGCTTTAAACTAAAAAGACCATTCTGCCACCTGCCTGGCTATGAGTAAGTAGAACTTCTTCTAAAT